AAGACCTCGTAGAGCCTTATCATCCTAACAGAGCACTTCGCTCTCAGAGTGCAGGTTTACTTGTGGTTCCTAGAATTCACAGAAGTAGAATGGGAGGCAGAGCCTTTAGCTATCAAGCTCCTCTCCTATGGAACCAACTCCCAGTCTCAGTTCGGGAGGCGGACACCCTCTCTACCTTTAAGATTAGACTTAAGACGTTCCTTTTTGATAAAGCTTATAGTTAGGGCTGGATCAGGTGACCCTGAGCCTTCCCTTAGTTATGCTGCTATAGGCCTAGGCTGCTGGGGGGGCCATGATGCTCTGAGTTTCTCTCCTCTCCTCACCTCTTCTCCTCTCCTCTCCTCTCCCATCCCCCCCCGGTCCTCTCTCCTCTCCTCTCCTCTCCTCTCTCTCTATGCATCTATTTGCCACCATTACACATCACTAACTTTGTGTCTCCTCCCTCCCATAGTGTGTCCTCTCTCTCTCCCTGTACCTTTCTGCAGGTAGCCCTGGCTTTGGAGTTCTACATCTCTGATGAGCAGTCACCGGCCACATCAACCTGACCATTCTCCTCTATCCACTCACCCCAACCGGTCCAGGCAGAAGGCCGCCCACCAAGAGCTGCGGTCTGTCCGAGGTTTCTTACGTCAAAGGGAGTTTTTCCTCCCTGTTGTCGCCAAGTGCTGCTCAAGGGGAGTTGTTGGGTTTTCCTCTATACTACTAATAATAATGATGACAAGTGTGTTAAGTGTCCTGAGATGACATTTGTTGTGATTTGGCTCTATACAAATAAATCTGAATTCAATTGAATTGAAGTGAAATGAAATTAAATGAAACTAGACATAAGGCAAGAGAGTCCACTAAGGAAGCACAATGAAAAAGGAAACTTGTTAAAGTGTATTAACTTGTATTTTGAAATACAAACTGGCACAGCCAAAAGGAAAACATGGTTTAACCCTTTTAATGATTACACATTTCTGAAGAATCAACATTTACATGGGGTAAAAAAACACTGTTTCCAGTGACTTGTGTGTGCATGTCTGTAAGGGCTGGACTTTGTGTGTGTGTGTTTATTTACCACTATAATGCTGTGCTCCTGTTTGCGGTTCTGCCTGCGAGATTTGGTGTGTGTCTGTGCGGTGAGTCCAGCCTGGAAGATGGTTCTGGGTCGAGGCCTCTGTCTCAAACCTAACTGAGATGTTCCTGAAGACTTTTCCTGTAAACACACACTCAGTAGATTAGATGTCACATCTCTTCTTTGCCCAAAGATGATATATGAACTACAAAAGCCAGTGCGTGCATGTAGTTATACTTCGCTGCATGAGTCCCAGGTACTTCCCTCCTCCTCTGCCCTCTTCCTGCTCCTCTTCCTGCTGCCTCTTGAGCACTGATTACCATCTGGAAATACAGAGACAGAGAGAGCATGGAATCAACAGAAGGTTAGATACAGGGCAAAAACACAGTCAATAGTTTTGAGACATTTAAGTAGCAGGACAGTTATTTTGTTCTAATAATATAGCATGTAACTGGATTTGAAATGAAATGACAATAAGAGTAAAGTGCACAATTTCAGACTTAAAGGAGTCAGGCTTAACAATGCTGGAATAGTTTTCATTAACAATCCAGGCAAGGCCAACACAAATTTTTAGAGGCGTGAACAAAGGAGAGTGACCAAACTAAAGATTAACGGCCACTGAAACAGTCCCATCAGTGTCTGCTGATGTCAGTGAAAGGATTCAACTCCAAATATTAAGTGTCAAGACTTTATTTAATATTATTTCAGTTTTTCATTTACATTTGATTCCATAAAACTGGGAGTTTAAGTGGTAACGCTGTAGTTCACAGGCCTATAAATTTATAACAATTGCCTGAGGAATCTTCTAAAAAATCCTTGGTACTGATAGTTAGTA